TGCAACAACAAAACTTGTGCCATCCTGGCACACTGCCCATCTTTAGGGTGGTGTCATTCTTCCACAATAATTGTAGCACTAAATTGATCCATCTGAACATGCTCCCATTATAACACAATTTCCTCCAATCTAACACAACACCTTCTCTACTACAACCATTGATGAAGTAATGCACATTATTATAGAAAAAGAAATAAGAGAATTGTTGCAAGTTACCACTATCTTTTTTTCGGTAGATTAACAAGTACAAATTCTTGCAATAAAGTTATTTGATTTTGTGTATAAAAACTTTAAACACCATAAAAAGTTAAAATAAAGCATACTAGTACTACTACTAGTACAATCTTAATAAAAGTATTAGTACTTGGTGACTCATTTGACTCATTGATTTTTTGTCAAGAAAAAAACACATAGTAGATGTTTTTAAATTGTTAGCCGCTAGATTAGTTATTTTAGTTAGACATAAATTTTCTATCACCTCTCCCTATTGAAATGAACCACCTCTTTTCTAGGTTTAACCAAAGTAGTTGAATCCATTAACTACATGTCACTATCTAACACACTTTGCCATTCCCTGAAACCAAAGTAGTTGAGTCCCTTACTTACTTCTTCTTACAAGTACACTTAACTTCTCTGTCCATACAATTTTCTGACATAGTTCATTGGCCTTTAATTTTTTTTGGAATTGTGAATAAGGTAGGAGGAATTTCTATTTATGGTTTGATACATTAAATATATTAATTATTTAATAAATTTTAAAAAATAAAATTTACTTATAATATAAAATAGAGTAGTACTAAGTAAGTGCAAAGAAAAATATTATTGCTGATTTGAATTCATGTCTCAAACACATCAAATATTTTTAGTCTTTCACCATGTACACTCCACATACACAATGTCTAAAACATTTTTATATATTATCTTTTAGACATGAACAATCTATTGTTTTTTAATTAACCATTACCTATTTATGCTAATTCTTTCTATACCATAATTTTTTTAATACACAAGATACGGAATTCAAACTTAATATTGGAATTTTGATCCTCTACATCTATATAGACGATTAAATTTTGAAGAAGTCAATTTCGTTTCTAATACTATATCTTGTAAAAATAACTGATAATTGATAAGATAGTTAGTAATTTATAGTTGATTAGTGATAGTTTATAGTTTATAACTGATTACTAATAAACGTATGATTGATGTTGGAGGGAGATTATTAGGAGCATTGATGCATAGTGTAGGAACAAGCACATTTGAGAGAGTCACACCACTTTTCCACCTAAAATTTTAAGGTGATAGGTGAATGTACATTCCTATCCAATGTGAGACTATTTCCCCACTTACTCATGTGTTATATTATTCCAACACTCCCCCTCAAGTGTGAGTCCACAATGCTCCCCCACTTGTACCACCATTGACATCTTGCGACGGAACACCACTTCCTGGGCGCATTTCGATACAAATCTCTTCCGGTCCCTTTCTCGAACCAAAGACTCTGATACCACTGTTGGGGGGAGATACTAGGAGCATTGATATATAGTATAGGAATAAGCACCTCTGTGAGAGACACATCACTTATCCACCTAAAACCTTAAGGTGATAGGTGAGTGGGTTCTCCCACTTATATATATGCTTAAGTCTCCACATTCCTTTCTTTGTTGGACCAGCAATCTCTGGCATAGTGACCAAAGTTCTTGCAACAGTAACACTAAACATTCTTCTTGACAGACTTCTCCTTTCCCTCCTGGACATTCTTCTGCCTATTAGAATTTGAAGCTTTTGACTTTTGACCACCATTAGTTTTCTTCCTGGATTCTGACCAAGTCTGCTTCTGATGCTTCTTACCAGAAGTTACTTTCAGAGCCTGCTACTCTACTTCCCTCTCAGAAGTTCTTGCAGTCATACGCAACTCATGCGCCTCTAGACTACTTTGGAGCTCTTCAACTCTCATGGTGCTTAGATCTTTAGAATGTTCAATTGCTACCACAATGTAATCAAACTGAGAAGTTAAAGATCTCAAGATCTTCTCAATGATTTCTTGTTCAGACAGAGTTTCTCCACAAGCTTTCATCTCATTAGTGATCAGAATCACTCTAGAGATGTATTCAGAAACTTTCTCGCTGTCCTTCATGTTTAGATTCTCATATTGCTTTCCGAGAGACTGAAGCTTCACCTTCTTCACTTTTGCGTCACCACCGTAACATCTGACCAGTGCGTCCCATGCAGCCTTCGCTGTTTCATAATCAGCAATCTTCTCAAACACATTCGCATCCACACATTGATGGATGTAGAACAACGCCTTCTGATCTCTCTTCCTCAGCGCCTTTTGTGCTATCTTCTGAACCTTTGTTGCATCTGCTTCTAACAGATTATAGCCACCAGTGACAAGTTCTAACACATCTTGAGAACCAAATAACACGCGCATCTGGATCTTCCAACGATTCCAGTTTTTGCCATCAAATACTGGAAGCTTGGAATGAATATCGCCACTGTTTCGCTCATCTTCTACCTTATGCAATTTACGCAGAGTTTCCCAAATCAATGTTTTCTCAAAACCCCCAGAATCAGAATATTGTAATTCTTAATCACAATACTTCTTTTCCCCGTGGATTTCGAACCGGAGCTCTAGATACCAATTATTGGGGGGAGATTATTAGGAGCATTGATGCATAGTGTAGGAACAAGCACCTTTGAGAGAGACACATCATTTCTCCACCTAAAACCTTAAGGTGATAGGTGAGTGTATATTTCTATCCAATGTGAGACTATTTCCCCATTTACTCACACGTGTTATATTATTCCAACAATTGATAATTGATAAATTATTAAATATTTAATAAAATATTGATTCCAAAATTGATAAATATAAAATAACATAAAAATATATTTTATTAATTGCTAATAATTTAGTAAATAATAATAGATAGCGGAGTTGGAATCGGCAGAAAAATAAAATGAAGAAAGGTGGAATGAAAATGATGTAGAAATAAATTGTGGTCGAAATTTTTTTAAATGCAAAATTTAACTTTTTCTATTCATTCATTTAAAATATATTTATTTAAAAAATAAAATAAAATGAAATTTTAATTAAAATAATAAAGATAAAAATGAATAAAAAAAATGAGAATCTGAAAGTAAAAAAAAGCCATAGATGATGAAGCCTCTCATATAGTTGGGCTCACTTGTAACTCCAACCAATCATGGTGGCAAACTTGAAAGTGCTTTTATTATACCTACCTAAAATTTCACACTACCCTCCATTCATATAACCATCTATCCATGTCTCCTTCATTCTTATAACACTCAACTCCACCAATTCCTTCTTTAATTTTCCAAACCAAAAATGGCTTCTTCTCTCTTTTCATCCACTGCTTCTCTATCTTCTCACTACCATCTCAGCTTCACTGTCTTAGCCTTTCTCCTATCAGCCATCATTTTCTTCCTCACTCAAAAAACCAAATCCAAAAGCCTCAACCTTCCACCAGGTCCACCAGGATGGCCTATCGTCGGCAACCTTTTCCAAGTTGCGCGTTCCGGGAAACCGTTCTTTGAGTATGTGAAAGAAATGAAAGCGAAATATGGTGCAATATTCACACTCAAGATGGGAACAAGGACTATGATCATCCTCACGGACGCGAAACTTGTGCATGAAGCTTTGATTCAGAAGGGTGCTTTGTATGCAACTAGACCACCTGAGAATCCTACAAGGAACATCTTCAGTGCCAACAAGTTCACTGTGAATGCAGCAGTTTATGGTCCTGTTTGGAAATCACTGAGGAGAAACCTGGTTCAGAATATGCTGAGCTCAACTAGACTCAAAGAGTTTAGAACGGTTAGAGAGAAATCAATGGATAAACTCATCAATAGGCTTAGTGTTGAAGCTGAGAAGAATGATGGTGTTGTTTGGGTTCTCAAAGATGCAAGGTTTGCTGTTTTTTGCATACTTGTTGCTATGTGTTTTGGTTTAGAAATGGATGAAGAAAAACTCGAGAAAATAGATCAAGTTATGAAGAATGTTCTCATCACTTTAGATCCAAGAATTGATGACTTTTTACCAATTCTAAGCATGTTTTTCTCTAAGCAGAGAAAAAGAGTTTTGGAAGTTCGAAAAGAACAAGTCGAATTCATAGTTCCTTTCATTGAACAACGAAGAAGAGCAATTCAAAACCCTGGTTCAGATGAAACAGCTACAACATTTTCATATTTAGACACACTTTTTGGTGTCAAAGTTCATGAAGGTAAGAAATCATCACCTTCAAATGAAGAATTGGTTTCGCTTATCTCCGAGTTTCTCAATGGAGGAACCGATACAACAGCAACTGCTGTTGAGTGGGGAATAGCACAACTCCTTGACAATCCTGAGATTCAAGAAAAACTTTATCAAGAAATTAATATGACAGTTGGAGACAAAAAAGTAGATGAAAAAGATGTTGAGAAAATGCCTTATTTACAAGCTGTGGTGAAAGAGTTGTTAAGGAAGCATCCTCCAACACATTTTGTACTAACACATGGTGTTACTGAGCCTACAACTTTAGGAGGGTATGATATACCAATTGATGCAAATATTGAGATTTACACAGCTGGGATAGGTGAGGATCCTAAATTATGGCCTAACCCTGAAAAATTTGATCCTGAAAGGTTCATATCTAAGGGTGAGGAAGCTGATATAACAGGTGTTACTGGTGTGAAAATGATGCCGTTTGGTGTTGGGAGAAGGATATGTCCTGGTTTGGCTATTGGCACTGTGCATATTCATATGATGATGGCTAGGATGGTTCAGGAGTTTGAATGGAGTGCTTATCCACCAGGGAAGAAGATAGATTTCACCGGAAAGATGGAGTTTGCTGTTGTTATGAAGAATCCGTTAAGAGCAAAAATCAAGGCGAGAGGTTAAAACTTAGTAGGGTTAATTCTGGTTTGTTTGTTTCTACAACAAAGGTTTTATATCTTTTTTTTACATATACATCATGTAATGACTTCTGTGTTTTGTTATCTTAACTACTAGTACTCTTGTTTGTTGGATAAATTTGATTTGGAGCTTCTGTCAAATTGTATCTTATTATATCAATAAACAAATTAATCAAGGAATTCATTTCTTGACTTATTTTTCCCTGTTTAGAAAGTGTGTCGCCTCTTGTGCAAGTGTGGTTTTTTTTAGGGTGAAATGTGAATACTGATGTGCAAGTTGCAGATAGCAGCAGTTGAATTGATTCATATGACAGTGTCACAATAAGTCTTACTGACAGGATACATATTTTGCAGAAAAGTGATGGGTATGTGTATATGTACATATAGAGTAATTCAAGTCCTTTCATTCATTCATCCATCATTTTCAGCTAATACATTTGTAAATTGGAAATGCAGTTCTATATTTTTTGACAGAAGGAAATTCTGTTAATAATTGCTAGGCTGAGATCAAAATGTTTACTTCATTATGCATATATCTTGATTGATCACAGACTTACTAAGTTCGGGCAATTTATTGATGGATACTGTCAAAACCCACGATTCTCTCTCTGTGTATTTTAGGATGTTTTATATTTTCTGTAACAATTGTATCTTGCTACTATTAGGTCTAGGTATTTATGATCAATCCCATAATTACAGGGATTTGTTCCTTTAAGAATTAGTTGTCCATATTTCCTAAAATAGGCTGCAGGCTCATGTATATATACAGGTCGAATGATCTAATAATATAATAAGAAATATATTATTCCTTTTAAATCTAAGATGGTATCAGAGCTCCTGATCCTTGGGAGTCTCTGACCGTGTCTGTAAACCCTAATTTGCAGCCTTCATTGCTGCTTGCAGCCTTCATTGCTGCACCCTCTTTAAGCCCTGTTGCAGTCTCTCTACCTTGATCACATCTGGTCATGGCTGAGATCGTGAATCCCACTCTGGAAACTGGGGACAAACCCCAGACCAATGGAGAATTGCAGAATGTCCATTCTGCTTATCGGCTAAATGGGAAGAATTATCTCAAGTGGTCTCAACTCATTAAGACCATCTTGAAAGGAAAAGGAAAGGTCAGTCACTGGACTGATAATATACCTGATGAAACAGAGCCCAAGTTCAAATCCTGGGATGAAGAAGACTCCATGATTATGGCGTGGCTGTGGAATTCAATGGTCCCTGAAATCAATGATACCTGCATGTTCCTTAAGTCAGCAAAGGAAATTTGAGAGGCAGTAGAACAGACTTATTCTAAGGCCAAGGATGCTGCTCAAATTTATGATGTAAAGGTGAAAACCGTGGCAGCCAAACAGGGAAACAAATATGTTACTGAATATGACAATCAACTCAAGTCTCTATGGATGGAATTGGACCACTATAGAGTTATAAAAGCAAAGTGTTCAGAAGACTCAGCAATCTTTAAGAAGTATATTGAACAAGATAGAGTATATGATTTTTTGGTAGGCTTGAACCCTGAATATGACCAGGTCCGAATCCAAATCCTGGGAAAAGAGAAAGTCCCAGGTGTTGTACCCCAAAATTTGCCCTCCCATATTTCTCAAAATATTTCAAGAAAAATTCACAAGTCCAACCCGGCGCGTCATATTCAGGTATTCTTTCGCCAAGATATCTCTGATAACGTATTCTCAAATTCAGGTTCGGCTCAAGAGTCAATTCTTTAAAGAAGGTATCCGAATGTGTGAGTTTTCTCGAAGAAATATGGTGAAAAAGTGTGCTGAAAGTGCAGTTTTTACGTGCTAAAAAAATCATAACTTGAATATCGTGGCTCGTTTTGAACCCGTTCCGGTGGCCAAAATTCCGTCTTGACATTATCTACGTTTTCATCTCTCACGACTGGAAGCCCATTTCGATCAGAAGGTCTTCAAAAATGTGGATTTATCAAGTATTTTCATACAGAAAATTTGTGACAGAAGTTTATTTGCGTCATGTTCAGAAAATCATAACTTGGTCGATTTTCATCGTATCGAGCTGGTTCCTGTGCAAAAATTTCACAAATTGAGTTGGCTATATTTTCATAAAAGGTATTGAGTTCAAACGGTATTCAAAAGGCCTTCGTTTTTTGCTCAGAGTGTGTGACACGCCGAAAATCCTGAATGCTGAATATTATTTCATCTAGGCCGAAACTTCGAAAATTCATAACTCGGTCAATTTTTATCGGATTGGACTCATATTTTTACACAAGGTCACTGACTCATAGATCTATAACTTTGCTTCAAAAGTCGAGACCGGATTATGCACCGATCAATACCAGTTTTTTATTGAAGAACGTGTCAGAGTCGACACTGGAGCCCAAAATAAGTTTGTCTGAGCTGAAACTTCAAAAATTCATAACTAATTCACCGTTTATCCGATTGAGCCGATTTTCGGACAGGAGTTAGTTCTTGATGTCGGCTACATTTTGTTTTCACATTTCAACTTCAAAAATTGCACTTAAGTCCCTGCAATTTAGCCTGGAAAGTGACGAACTCAAGTGAACATTAGAGGTCCAATTGCACATTCAAAGCCCATTTTCTTTACCCTAATTTCCATTATATAATCACCTTCTTTTCACACAAACCAGAGAGGAGAAAAAAAGGAGAAAAAAGAGAAAATTAAACCTGGCCACAACATTGTCAGAATATTAAATTCTTTCAAGAACCCTAAATCCTTGAAATCCTTATTACAAATCCCTCTCTCACTACAAACAAGTCATCACAGTTACAAACCAACACCTCACTACTTCTTCAGTAAGGGTAAGGCTGGCTTGATCTCCATGATCCAAAAGGCATAAAAGCATTCACGTCACTAATTTTCCAGTAAGGGTAAGATTGATTTGATCTCCATGATCAAAAGGGTATAATCATTCATACATGTCATATTGTGTCTAAACATTAAATTTCTTCATATATTGGCTTTATTTGTATTTTATGATTTTATTTAATGTGTTCATGAGATTCAACACTGCAGATTTAGACAGGATCCCCATGCAGGTTCATTGAGGAACGTTGAGGCCAAAAGCCAAAAGCCAAATGGCCAAAAGAACAACTTATGCATGATGAGGCCAAAACACAAATGGCCAAAAGCCAAAAGTCAAATGGCCAAAGTAGAACAACTTATGCATGATGAGGCCAGAACACAAATGACCAACAGCCAGAACACAAATGGCCATGAAATCCAATGGCCAAAGAATGCAGATCACGGTACTCAGGAGTCAATGAACACGCACGTGATGCCAGAAAGTCAAACAAGGCTTTTTGTCTAATGGGCCAGATTTCTCACAATAAACCTCCAAATTGGGTCAGACACCCCCATTGTTTGTATTCTTTTTTTTAATTTCCTTTTCTTTTCTTTTAATTATTTTAATTGTTTTCTTTAATTTCCAATAATATAATTTTCATAATAAAAATCAGACATTAAAATATGTTAATTAATTTACTTATTAAATATTTTTGTAAATAAACTTTAAATAATAAATTTAGTTAAATTAGGTTTTGAAACTTAAATCTTTTTCTTAACAAATTAAAATATGTAGAAATTAGGGTTTTTAACTTTTTTCATCCTTTTTAATAAATAATTTTTTTTCTTATTATTATCATTATTATTAATTACTAATTTATTTTGTAAATAAACATGTATATTAAATATTTAGTAAATTAGGTTAAACTTTAACATTTTTCATTAATAATTAAAAATAACTTAGAATTAGGGTTTCTTTTAATTTTAATTTTCTTTATTCCATAAATACCAAAAAAATCTAAAAAACATTTCTTTTAACTTTTAATTTCAATTTAATTTCAAAAGGGTCCAACGCCCTCGAACATTCGATTCTAATTTCTTTTCGCACATTTATTCTTATTTATTTTCTTTCAAATATTATGTAATTGCTCAAGCCTTGTAATAGTAATTAGGAATTTATTTTACTTTCCGCATTTTTATTCAAAACGGGTCTTTGTTAATTTGGCGATGTATAGACCCGCGCCTTGTAATAGCGTAGGATTTTACTTTCCGCATTTAAATTTCCGCACCTTTAAACTGCTAACTTGCATGAAAGAATGAATGACTAATTAAAAGTAAAACGTAGCTCACGATACAATGATCAAAGACAAATATGAACATGAAAATAACACACAAATTCACACACCACTCTTAGGGTACGCCTCACTGTTGCCTTGCCCTCGAAACGTGGTCGTCTAGTATAGGACGTTTTAGTAAGTCCTTATGTCCATGACATGATCCAGTTGCCTCGAAACGGTTGCCTCGGAATTAAAAAGGATCAATGGCATAAGGGTAGCTTCTAAGGTGTCCTACTGTTGCTCTGGTGACCACACTGTCCCTACAAACGAATTGACCCGAACACCTCCAACGGTGGTGCTACCTACCTCTCAATGGTGGGATGGCACTACCTTAAGGACATTTACACAGCCTAATTCCTTAGGGTAGGTAGATGACTCGTAGATACTTGCTCTATTTCAAAAAACAAATCAAACTCTTTTCACACCAACACTTTTCAAAAAGCTTTCAAAACAATTTTTCAAACACTCTTGAGGACTGATACAAGAGTCGATCTGAAATCTTTAAATGAAACTTTTTCAAACCCACTCACATTTGAAAAGCAAACACTTTGAAAACACAATGAGCAAGTATCTAAGAGCCCATGGATAACCATGGATAGAAAGGGTGTTAACACCTTCCCTTTCTATAAATCTACCTCCCGAACCGAGAAACTATCTCATAAGGAATTTTGTTGTGCTTTTGTCCTGTTCATGTTGGAGAAAATAAAAGACGGTGGCGACTCTTGCTTACCGCGATATTTCGCGAACCAGCGTTAAACAGTCAGTTCCAGATCCACCGATCACAGAACTGGCGACTCTGCTAGGGATACTTAAAGTGAGGTGTACCTTAGGATAGCTCATACTTGTGTTTTCAATTGCTGTGTTTTGTTTGCTTTATTATTGTGGGCATTGTCTTGGAGTTTCATAGATCCTAACCCGGATCTGGGGATACCCTGTTAGGTAGCATAAGCTGTGAGGGACCTGTCCGGCGTAGACCGACACGGGTGAAACAGTGGCTACGTTGGTGTGGCACCTTGGTCTGTACTGATATCCCTTGTGTTGCAACAAGGAGAATATGGGTCTTCTGAGGAGTCATTAAGCACCAATCGACCTTAGAACCTTAAATGACCCAACTTGGCTTATAGAACAGTAGCAGTATGCTACACCCATTGAGGCTAAACTCTCGCGATGGTTCTGGCCGCAAGAAAAGATTGCGATGCTGGAGTTATGACCGATTGAGGGTAGTCAGTGATATTGGGATCCTCTAGAACCCGGTTACTTTTGATAGGACAGGTCTTAACCAACCAACT